GACTGGAGAAGACACGTGGGAGTGGAGATGATAGAAGCAGACCGACCAGTCAAAGGTGACGTCCTGGGAGGACAGGACGCGGCGCGAGGCAGGGTGGTAAATATGCTAGGGCGGGGCGTCGGTGGGGAAGCCAAGTAAGGCACAGCCAATAGTGCGAGGGGAGAGCTTGTCCGCGGTAAGATCGCGGACAAGGACAAGTGAGCCCCAGACCTGAAACGGCGACGCATAGCCAACCTCCCCCGTCCAACGCAGTGTAGGCGAGGTCTCTGGCACAGAGACACGGGGCCAGAGGTTGAGCTGATGCGCGGCGTATCGGACCGCAAACGGCCACATATAATGGGGAGCAGCCGCATGGATCATGGAGGTGCGAGCAACCTCCATGATCAAGCCAATGCGACGCTCAGCAATCCCATTCTGCTGTGGAGAGGCCGGAAGCGTGAACGACTAGGCGATGCCCTCCTCACAACAAAAGTCCTCAAGGAGGCGGGAGGAAAACTCGCCGCCTCTGTCAGAGTGCAGTCGCAGGACCTGAAGGTCCTGCTGAAACCGTGCGCTCAGCTGGCGACGAACAGTGCGGATCGAGGGGATCAAAACACCGCGTGCATCCGCCTTTTCAAGGGGAAGACCGTGGTGTAGCGCTTGTAGTCGTCAACAACCAGCAGAAAGTAGCGCTCATGGTCCTGTCCACGGACGCGGGTTGGGGCCCACACCTCCATGTGGAGAGTCTGCAGAGGAGCAGTTGTCGGAGGAAACGAGGAGGAGTGAGGAGCGGCGCGCTGCCGCCCCTCGACGCAGGGAAGGCACGGCTGTGCAAGCGAGCGCAGGAGCGGGGGCAGGGACCTGGGGAGGCCAGAAACAAGGAGACGAGAGTGCATGCCACGCAGGATTTAGGGTTTGCAAAGCTTCCGCAGGAGCAGGCTCACAGGCACCTAGACTGGTAGCCTCTACACTACCAAGGACGCGTCGCTGAGAAACCCACTCCCAAAGCTGCTGCGGCGAAAGAGTCTCCGGCTGACGCTACTGCCCCTGCTGACCACCCCCATAACCACCGCCTCCACTAGTGACACCACCTGCGGGAGCAGACGTACAGGTACCTACACTCGCCTCCTCGACCAGCGGCTGCACCTCCCTTAACAACGGACGCCGCTGTTGTAGTGGCCTGGTGGCAGGAGAGAGGGAGAAGTAGTGTCTAACAACAGCGTCGAACAAAGTCTAGGCTGACGTCACATGTCGAAAGTGGTCCCTCTGGTCGACCGGCAGGAGAGTTCGGACGGCACGCTGTGCGACAGCGTCGCGCTCTGTCCACTGTCTGTAGGCAAGGCTGTCCGCCCGGTACCGCCTCTGCACGTCCTCGCCAGCGTCAGCAGCAGGCTCAGTAGGAGTCGTGGGGGGCGGAAGTGACCCCGACGTGTGCTCGAGTAGGGAGACGCTATCTCTAATGAAACGCCGGAGATGCAAGCGCAGGCACGTAAGCCACTACCCTAACCTGTACGGGCGTCCGTCGGCGTCAACCGCTACGACCGGCGGCGTGGCCATGACGGGCAGTGGCAGTCAGCAGCAGCGGCGCAAGGGCTGCAGTGGCAGCCGTAGCGGTAGCGGGAGCCTGTAGCGTCAGCAGAGGTAGATGCAGCGACAGTGGTAGTGGCAGCTGTTGTAGCTAGGGCTGTGCACGTGCGGCTAGGGCAGCACGCGGGCAGCAAGGCGTGCGGTGTACGGGGCAGAAAGGTGCGCTGGCAACAGGGCGCGCAGGCAGCAGGGAGCGCTGGCAACAAGGCGCGCAGGGCGCGTGGGCAGCAGGGCGCGCTGGCAGCAGGGCGCGCTGGCAGCAGGGCGCGCTGACAGCAGGGCACACGGGCTGCAGGGCGCACGGGCTGCAGGGCGCACGTGGGCTGCAGGGCGCGCGGGCAGCAGGGCGCACGCGGGGCGCAGGGCAGCAGAGCGCGCTGGCAGCCGAGGCGCGTGCGGGCAGCAGGGCGCACGCAAGCAGCATGCGACGCGGGCAGCAGAGGCGCTCGCGGGCAGCAGGCGACGCAGGCAGCAGGCGCGCGGGCTGCAAGGCGCGCGGGCTGCAGGGTGCGCGGGCTGCAGGGCGCGCGGGCAGCAGGGCGCACACGGGGCGCAGGGCAACAGAGCGCGCTGGCAGCAGAGCACACGCGGGGCGCAGGGCAGCAGGGGGCGCTGGCAGCAGAGGCGCGCTCGGGCAGCAGGCGACGCGGGCAGCAGAGGAGCGTGCGTGCTGCAGGGCGCGAGACAGGGCAGGTGCGAACGCGTGGGGCAGGGCGGCTCTAGCGGGCGGCCGGGTCGCCCTAAAAAACGGGCAGGGTAGAACGAACTGTGGGGCCTAAAAAAATCGGTCCTAGGGACCTACGTGCTCTGATACCATGTCAGAATCGTGTGGCAGGAATCATAGACTATAATGGATGATGAGTACAAGTAGTCCTAACCCTAATGGGTTGTACTCAGTAGAGTGTACCCCACTACAACCTAAACAATATGAACGGCATTTTGACACAACGACACCTCCAGCTTTGGTAATTGGTGTTGCAACATGATAGAGTCGAGTAAGAGTGTTCTTCTACTAATCTAGTGTCTGTTAGAATGATAACGTCTGCTGCTTTCCGTGTCCAGTCAGTTACTTTTGCTTGCTTGTTCCAGTTACTTAGGTAGTTCACGTTAAGGCCCGTGAATGAGAGAAGATTTCGAAAGACTTTTTGGTGGATGATCCCAGCTTCTCCAGGTTCAGTAGGTGAGAGGCTGCGGTGATGTGGTCTGCAGCAGCCATGAACGTTTTCCCCTTCATCTTTCCGCATCCAGCCTGTGTGCAGAGTCATTCCTTGCGGTTGCCGCCGGTTGAGATGAGGACAGTCGCCGTGGATGGGTGACACTAGGCCGGAGGTGTGCAAAGAAGCCGCTGCAAGAGCAAAACCAATCATCAGTGAGTGGATCAGGTTGGAAAAGGGAGTCATCAGGTGAGAACCGTGCAGCATTATTAACGTTAATCCAGTGAACATTTCCAGGGTGAGGTTCCACGTTCCAATATTATTCTGCCACTCTGTTATGAACATATCAAATGCTTGTCATAATGATGTCCTCTGCAGAGACCAAGTGCACGAAGTGTTGCCTGCCAATCTCACCGGACAACCAGACCCTTGACCACGTCAATGTCAGCACCAGTGAGCGGCTGCGGAACGCAGTGGAAGCAGAGGCCATCTTTGAACGCTGACTGCTTCCTCAGCTTTAGTTTGTACAGCACCAGCAGGAACTTGCTTATAAACGAGTTCAACCACTTTCAGACTAGTAGACCTTTCCCTGGCGTAGGATGGGTCGTCGGTGTGCTGCCATTACAGCTTCACCATTGTCCCATTTGCCTTCTGATAGTCCACCGAGTGGTACTTTATGTGATGTGCATCGCGTTCCTCCATGAAGGAGATCAATGTCAATATCCAGCTCCTTGTCCGAATCGTTGTCCACGAAGAAATCATCAGCAGCACAAGAAATCTATGCTGCCTGAAGCTTGTTTGCTGCTGACAATCCCGGCCTTCCCGCGACCACATTCACCGTCGTAATTGGGTCTTGTGTCTCCTTGGGTTGCTCTCCTTCCGAGTTCATGGGAGGTTCACGATCAACTTGAGGCGCGACTGGAGCGTCGTTACGGGAGACAACCTCCATAGTAGACTTGGTGGTCCTAACACTGAGCAAAGTAAAGAGAATACAGTACTCTCCATGATGTGCATAAGCCCCTGTAGAAGACCCTCGGTTCCATGATGTGGGGGTGACTTATGTATGAGCTTACAGTGGAAGCCCAACTGCATTTCACAACAAAACAGGTTTGCAATAGCCAAGTACCGTACAAATGTTAAACAAAGAAACCTAGAAATGCAAGGTAGCACACAAAGCGTCGAAAGCTAGCAATCTTTCTGAAGAAACAAAAACTAGGCTCCATGGTACAACAGACAGACCAACAAGCATGCACGTATATTCCTGATACACGCACCAAATAATCCAGCCAACCGTCAGCCAAGTTGGTTCCAAGCCTCCGAGCAACCGCATGCAGTTGCTCGCACCTCTGCTCCATCAGCCCCCGCCGAGATGACGTCGCTCTGATGCTGCCAGCTTGCGCCTCCTTGCCCCCCCCCATCCAACTAGGGCCGCCCGTTCTTCACTTGTTCACCAGCCTCTTTAGAGAGGATACGATCAGGCTATAGTTGCACAGGGAAGGGTCAAATGGAGGGCAGGCCACAGCATAAGAAGTGAGAGGCAACAGAAGTTGATAGAGCAAGATGTGCAACTGACATGTGGGCTGTTTATATGTGGGCAGTTCATGGGTGCATGTGGGTGGAGGAGAGAGCGTTGTCTGGCGGCACCGGTTGGAAGAGAGCACGGCACAAATCACCCGTACGTCTGCACCCACACTTCAGAGCATGCATTGATCCCTCTCCCTTACGTGTGGTGCACCCACACTTACCGATCCGGCAGCCAACTGATTGCGGCGGTTGGGATGCTTTCTTGAGAATCCTGAGAGAGGGAGAGGTAAGGATAGGGAAGGATAGGGAAGAGCACAGATGAGGACGAATCACTCCAGTTATGACAGTCACTCCATTCACGCGACAACGGCCAAGCAAACTCTGGTGACCGTACATCACGTGGCATGCATCACACATGTGCCGTGCATCACACATGTGCCGTGCATCACACATGTGCCGTGCATCACACATGTGTCGTGCATCACACATGTGCCGTGCATCACACATGTGCCGTGCATCACACATGTGCCGTGCATCACACATGTGCCGTGCATCACACATGTGCCATGCACCACGCTCACACACCCTTTCGTGACAGGGTAGCCACGGCCCGTCCACGCAGGGCGTGCGATCCTCAGGCCCGGCTGGCCCGAGCAGCCCGGCCCAGAGTAGAACGTGAGGCTCTGGCACATGCCGTTTTCAGCTCCAGCGAGCTTCGCGACTCTCCACACCACGGTGGCCTTGGTGTGGCTGCCGATGCTGGCCGTCAGGTCCGTGCACGCGGTGGTGCCACCGATCGCATCTGCCGGCGCATCGTTGGAGAAGGTGAGCCTCTGCTTCCTGGCCTTGCGCTTGCGCCCAGCGTTGGGGGCCTGCAGCTCCAGTGTCGTGCGGAGTAGGGGGCCTGAGCGGAGGGCGGGGCAGGGGAAAGCAGATGAAAGGAGGTGCCGTGGAGAAGGTGAGGCTCTGCTTCTTGGCCTTGCCGCGCTTGCGCCCGGAGTTGCCTTGCAGCTCCAACGTCGTGCGGAGTAGGGGCCTCAGCGGAGGACAGGAAAGAGACAGGGGACAGGAAAGGAGAGGGGCAGGCAGGGGAGAATGTGCGGGAGGAGTGAGGAGATGAAAGCAGCCAAGTAGTGAGACAGTTGACGACATGAATGGGGGTTTGCAGGCGTCGAGTTGGGGGCGTGAAGGGGGAAATGAGAGGAAGGGGGCAGGTAGGGGGGGAGGTGCGGGAGGGGTAAGGTGACGAAAGCAGCTGGTCAACGTTTTGGTGACATGCCTCCACGAGTTGCATCTCAGCGTTGCATCTCAAGTGCGGGAGGATGTGAAACGCTGACCAAGTGCTGACTCCTGAAATGCGTTTGTTTAAAGAAATGAATCGTCTACAACTCACCAAAGCGGCACTCACCAAAGCACGTCCTGTAAGCGTCGCTGAAGATGAAACCAGCGGTGGAGCACACGCACACGGGATCGCCAGCAGCGTTCAGAGAGCAGGAAGCCGTGGAGCCACAGTCCAGAGCCGCACACGGGTCTGCAGAGGCGATTATGCCTGGTTGCGAGGTGTAAGTAGGGAAAGGGGTGTAATTAGAGGAAGGGGCTTAGACGAGTTGAACTCTTGCTGATCTCACCCACACACACACTCAACCACGCACGCATACTCAACCACACACATACACTCACCCACACACGCACACCCACCCACACACGCACACCCACCCACACACGCACACCCACCCACACACGCACACTCACCCACACACGCACACTCACCCACACACGCACACTCACCCACACACGCACACTCACCCACACACGCACACTCACCCACACAGGTCAGCCTACTCACCATCAACAGCGCTGGCGTGGGTCGCGAGGAAGCACACTCCATCACTCGCCCACACTCCCAGCACTCACCCACACTCCCAGCACTCACCCACACTCCCACCACGATCGCATGTGTTGTCCAGTTCATTAAAGTTAGAACCATCCAAGCACTCGCACACACCAGCAGTGCCATCGGCACTGACAACGCACTGAGCATCGGTCCCACAGTCCTTGCTACCACACACGTCTGCACAGGAGATCGAGGGTTGTTTCAAGGGAAGCAAGAGCGTGCGAAGCAAGAGCGTGGGATGCAAGAGGGTGGGATGCAAGCGGGTGGGGTGCAAGCGGGTGGGATGCAAGCGGGTGGGATGCAAGCGGGTGGGATGCAAGCGGGTGGGATGCAAGCGGGTGGGATGCAAGCGGGTGGGATGCAAGCGGGTGGGATGCAAGCGGGTGGGATGCAAGCGGGTGGGATGCAAGCGGGTGGGATGCAAGCGGGTGGGATGCAAGCGGGTGGGGTGCAAGCGGGTGGGGTGCAAGCGGGTGGGGTGCAAGCGGGTGGGGTGCAAGCGGGTGGGGTGCAAGCGGGTGGGATGCAAGCGGGTGGGATGCAAGCGGGTGGGGTGCAAGCGGGTGGGGTGCAAGCGGGTGGGATGCAAGCGGGTGGGATGCAAGCGGGTGGGGTGCAAGCGGGTGGGATGCAAGCGGGTGGGGTGCAAGCGGGTGGGGTGCAAGCGGGTGGGATGCAAGCGGGTGGGGTGCAAGCGGGTGGGGTGCCATGGGCACTGCCAGTGGTGTGCGGCAGTCAGCCGACTCACCATCAGCGGCGCTGGCGTGGGTCGCGAGGAAGCTGATGGCAACGAGGCCCGCGACGAGTGCGGCGGCGCCAAGCCCGTACAGCCGCCCGAAGCGCCGGTCCATGATCACGAAAGGAGACGAGAGCCGGAGGAACCGAGGAGATTGCGACAGCAGATCGCTCGCGCCGATGCCAAGAAGGCTTCAAGCAGTGCGTTGTCAGTCGCTTTTGGGTCGACTGGACAGTGACGAGCAGATGGCGACTGTCGATCGCTCGTAGTCGCAATGAGGCGAAATTGGGTGGGACGTCGAAGGTGGCGCGGCGACTCGGAAGGGAGGAGAGGAGACGGAGAGGCGCGCAATGGGCGAGCAGCGGAGTGTGAGAATGTGACTGCTGCCTTGGAAGCGGGCGTGGATTTATGTGCTGAGATTGAGTGGTCAATCGCTCAGCTTGATTTTTTGGTATTCAAAGAGGAAAATAAAAATCTTGCGGACTCGCGCACCATGTAACGTGTTCCGTCGCAGAGAAGAGAGGGGGAGATTCTGAGGGACGCGCCGCGGCAGGAAGGAAGGGGGATCATCCCAACGCCGGAGCTCGGAAATGCGCATTGCGCGGCCGCGATTGGGTTGCGGAGAACGAGACAACATGTGGTGATTCTAGTCATCACGGCCAGTAAGCGGAAGGAACCCCGGGTTACGTGGAATGGATGGACGAGGCGCCGGCGATGACGGGAGGAACTCGGTAGGGAGGGATGGGCGAGGCGGCTATGCGAACGCGTTAAACTGGTCGTTGGACAAGGCAGTCTTCAAACTCCGCGACGGGGTGGTAAGCGGAAAGGCTTCCGCCTCTAATAGTAATTCTAGTAGCGCGCTCGCGCGCACCAGGGATGAGAGGAGTGCGCTACTTAGCGAAGGTGATTTATTGTTGGAGTCGAGCAAACGCTCGGAACGCGTTTAAAACCGGAGTCTCAAGTTCCCCTCAATTGCCTCATCCTTCCTACCTTTGGTTGGGTCACCAGGTCCAACCAACTTTCCTACCTTTGAAAGGGCCACTAGGTCCAACCAACCTTCCTACCTTTGTAACCTGTGGACCTCGGGTTTTAAGAACCAAAATGAGGGGATTTAGTGCAGTCCCAGGCATCAACGATGATTTATTACAACCAATTTATGGTAGTTGTTTTTCAACCTTACATTTTTTAGTCAGAAGGATCTGAAGGGCTTCATCCCAGCTCAACAACAAAGAGGTGTTCGTCTCAAAAGCGCATTCTAGGGAAAATCACCACCACCGCACACCACCAGGCACAATAGGGGTTGCACTCTCAGAATAGGAATGCAACGGAATACTTGGGATTAGGGTTTGCAAGCATACAAATAGGAGTCCTACAAATGTTGTACCCTCTAGGGAGTGCCTCACTGCAGCCTATTGTTAGAGTTACTAGCTAGATGAGTGAGTTCGATTAGGTAAGGGGGGGGGGTACAAGGACTATCGAGAGAGATTGTTGTACCCTCTAAGGAAACAACCCTACACAACCTAGAGTGAAATAAGCAGAACAATATGTTTTGACACACCCCCATAGGTGAAGTAGGGGATAGCCAAGCCGAACAGTGGTCACAAGACCAGTCAAGCAAGAGAACAAGCAAGGCAAAGCCCAGGGTGGATCTCAAGGACACCACACAATCTGAGCACAAGCAGGCAACCACAAGGCCAGTTCACATGCAGATTTATAAGAGCAAGGCAGTACACAGATCACAACCTAGCAAGAGGAAACATGCAGGTATAAAGATATATAGCAGTGTACAACAAGAGCAAGTCAAGCAACCAGCAGGTGAGGCAGAGTGGGCACAAGCCCAAGAGCAGTGCAAAAACGCTGATGATCACCAGCCGCAAGGGCCTTGGTGAAGACATCAGCAGTGTTGGCCCGAGAGGCCACGAAAGCAAGGCGCAGCTGACCACGCTGCTGCAGCTCACGCGCAAGGAAGTAGCGCAGAGCAATGTGCTTCGTTCTGTGCTCCAGTCTCTGTTCGCGACACAAGGCAAGCATTGCCTTGTTGTCGACGTACAGAACTGGAGGAGAACGAGGCCGCTCCCCCAAGTCGGCCAGCAGGTAGGTCAGCCAACGGAGCTCCTGTGCAGCCATGGCCCCAGCGTAGATCTCGGCCTCACAGCTGGAACCAAGCACAGAAGAAGAACGAGTGGACCTCCACGAGACAGAACCAGCGCCAAGACTGAAGGTGTAGCCCTGTGACGAACGCTGAGTCGCCTGGTCGTCAGCCCAAGAAGCGTCAGAGTGTCCTGTGAGGACCACGGGACCCCGTCCTCCAAGCACGAGCCCCATGCCCGATGTGCTGCACAAGTAACGCAGTACCCTCTTCGCAGCATCAAAGTGCACCTTTCGGTGCCTGCCGGGTGCCACGTAGCGAGCCAGAAGGCTGAGAGGATACGCGAGGTCAGGTCGTGTGCACGTCATCAGGTACATGAGGCAGCCCACAAGCTCTGGGTACGGACCACTCGGCTCTACGGACTCGTCCGAAGGTGGAGCTGAGAGCGAGTGGCCGGTAGCCAGAGGAGTGGGCTGTGGCGAGGAGTACGTGAAGCAGAAGCGCTGAAGGACCTGGTGCACCATGTGTGACTGAGTCAAGGTGATGGTGCGCCGTGCTCTGTCCCGGGTGATCTGCAAGCCAAGATAGCTCCGCAGCTCACCCAGGTCAGTGCAGGTGTGTCTCTCCTGCAGCTCCACCTTCACTAGGGTAAGTGCCTCAGTGTCAGCAGTAGCAAAAACCAAGTCGTCGACGTACACGAGGATGTAGAACGGCGGCAGAGTAGTGTCGATGCGTAGAAACAGCGACGGGTCAGCAGTCGAAGGAGCAAACCCAAGAGCCGCAAGTGTCGTCCTCAGTGTGTCGTGCCACTCACGGGGCGCCTGACGCAGGCCGTACACTGGTCGCCGTAGGCTCCACTGGGTACCCGCAGGAAACGACCCAGTGAACCCCTGTGGACGGCGCAACCAGATGGCCTCGTGAAGGCTACCCTGCAAGAAAGCTGTCGAGAAGTCGAGGGAGTGCAGCTCGTAGTCACGCTGAGCTGCAACGTGTAGCAACACCCGAAGAGTGGTCATCTTCGGGGTGGGGGAGAAGGTCTGAAAGAAGTCGACCCCCTCACGCTGACTGAAGCCTCGAGCAACGTAACGTGCCTTGAAGGCAGGCGGAGAACCCGGCGGCCGCTTCACCCTGAAAATCCACATGCCACTGACGATGTTCGCCCCAGGTGGGGGAACCTCGTCGACGTAGGTGCCTGTGGACTTCCAGGAAGCCATCTCTGCGTCCATGGCTAACTGCCACTGAGAGGAGTACTCACCCGAAATCGCCTCCCTGTAGGAGCGCGGGGTGGGGATGTCAAGTGCATCCGGGTCTCCCTCAGGGGCAAGCAGCATGGTCGTGTGATGGGGTGAAGCGGCAGCAAGGCACTCCAACTCCTCCTGACTGTCCTCAAGAACGTCACAGCCAAGGGCAGTGCAGCCAAGAGCAGTCTCACCCCCGACGGACGGAGGACAGGCAGGGACAGGGTCAGAGACAAGACTCGCAAGGTAGTCTAGGCGGTACACAGCAGCAAAGTCAACGAGCTCAGCTACTAGGGCAGACGCAGCAGGAGACGAGAACGTAGGGTCCGTCACAACCGTAGCAAGAAGGCGAGTAACAGTCGGACTGGACGCACGAGTAAGGTCAGACGGAGGGTCAGCAACGTCAGGCAAAGAGGACGCAGGAGGTAACGGTAGGACAACACGCTGAGGAACAGAGGAAGGACGGAGTGTCATATCGTGAGTGCCGGGGACAGCCGGAGCACGCTGACGACGAACACGAGGAACACGAGCACGGACAGCAACTCTAGGCTCAGGCTCAAGGTCAAAGCTAGACTCAGGCTCTCGACGCTCAGGGGTGGAAGCACGAGTCTCAGGCTCTCGACGCTAGGTCAGGGACTCTGACACCGCAGTGTAAGGAGCAGGAGCAGGCAGTGGGGAGTGTGGTAGCAGCGGCGGCTGTGACTGGTCCGCCGGTGGACACAGCAACGGAGGAGTAGTACCTGCCACAGGGAAGCCAGTAGCACCTGGCTGAAGACTGAGAAGGTGGCGAAGAGCACCAGTAGCTCCACCAGGACCTCCAGCACCTCCAGCACCTCCAGCCCCAGCAGCTTCGGCGCCTCCAGCACCAGCAGCTCCAGCAGCTCCACGACCTCCAGCACCAGCAGTACCTCCAGTACCTCCAGCACCAGCAGCTCCACGAGGACCAGCAGCACCTGCAGCTCCCCGACCTCCAGCACCAGCAGCACCTCCAGTACCTCCAGCACCTCCAGGACCTCCAGCACCAGCAGCACCTCCAGGACCTCCAGCACCAGCAGTACCTCCAGTACCTCCAGCACCAGTAGCTCCAGGTCCTCCGGTAGGAGCTCCGACGACACCAACACCAGAAGGACTCGCAGCACCCCCAGAGTCAGCACCCGAACTCGAAGCACCCCCAGAGGCAGCACCCTCGGTCTCAGCACTCGCAGGCTCAGTACCCTCAGTCGCAGCACCCTCAGGCCCAGTACCCTCAGTCCCAGCACCCCCAGGCTCAGTACCCTCAGTCCCAGCACCCCCAGGCTCAGTACCCTCAGTCCCAGCACCCCCAGGCTCAGTACCCTCAGTCTCTGCTCCAGTGTCCACAGCAGCAGGCTGCAGAGGCGGCGAAGACGGCAGAGGTGGGAACCCGGGGGGTGTAGCCAGACGAGGAGAGCGGGCACCCCCGGACTCACCACCCCCAGCCCCAGCTCCAGTAGTCTCAGCTCCAGAGTCCACAGCACCAGGCTGCGGAGGCGGCGAAGACGGCCGTGGCGGGAAACCCGGGGGGGTCTCCAAGCGAGGAGTGCAGCGAGTGGTCGCCGTGTCGTCGGCGACGGCGTCACCCCCCTCAGGTGAGTCAGAGGAGTCAGAAGAGATCTCAACTGGCTCATCCAAGGGGGGTGGGTCTACCTGGGACACACCTGAGGGAGCAGGACCCTGTGGGGGAAGGGGGTCTACCGGGGGGG